CAGCAGGAACCTCTCCTCATTCATCTTGCGTTCCTTCCCACGTTCACTGAGGCTAGGAACGATGGCTGAGTTCCACACAGACGAAGCGAAACGCAGGTGAAGGCAGTGGGGTTTTGGAACCGCCGCCCTGGGCGAGGCCAGAAGGAGCTGGCTCTGTAAACACCGGCACAAAAGACCTGGTGGTGCTGTCAGTGAATGCTGCCCTTGGGTTTTGGCTCCAAGGGCCAGCGGAGCAGCCATCCCAACCGAGCCTCCCGTCGCCTGTCCTAGCTCCCCTCTTCCTCCGCCCCAGTTATTTAGTGTTTCTACCCCAGATACGCCCGAGCCTTCTGCAGGACACTGCCCTTTCACCACGTCTCACGCCGGAGAACAGCTCTGCCAGACCTTTCCAACCCAGCGCCCTCTGTGTCGGTGTTAGAAGGAATTCTGTGCTGCCGACCAGGAGAACGCGGGTGACAAGGATGGGAACATTCCTCCGGTCCGTGGTAGCGACTTACCCGCCCCCCTCCAAGCTGTCCCTTTTAAGACAGGGCTTGATGGGTAACACACCTTGAAAGAAACGTCCCGGCAGCAAGAGTGTGGTTTTTTCTAGTTTTTCAGGGGTTTTTATCCCTTTTTAACTTTAAGGTGCACAGCCCTGCCCCTCCTCCTGTTCACAACCCGGGCTGCAAGTCACCGAGTGTGAACTCCTCCTGTGACTCGCCAAGAAGGTCTGAGGAGGCCAGCGATGCCTTCCAAGGGACGTTACTGCGCTGAACGCCGAGGCTGGGGGGTGGCTTTGCCGGCGACTCCCTTCTTCCGCAGAGATCAGATGTGAGGCAGGAAATCACAGCTGAGCTCTGATGAGCCGAAGAGGATAAGCACACGCTTCTGCTCCCCAACAGCAGAGCAGATGGGGGTCACAAGAGCACGAACACGGGATGAACACGAAAAGTTTTCTTTTTAATTTAACAAGCACGAGTAATTTAATTCCTCAACCTTATTTCTACAGGAAATGCAGCGCAACGCTACCTCGATCCCATTCTCTCTCAGCCTGGACTGCCTCGGCAGGGTAGCTGAACACCCCTTATTTTACATCGTCCCACTCAAATTGGAGGCTGACGCAGGCCGCAGGAAGAACTGCGAAGAGTTTCCTCGCTGCGCGGACAGTTCAGGCACCACTTCAACGTTTACTCTCCAAGAGCTGTCCAGAAACACCCCGGGGCTTACCGAAAATGCTCGGTACCGACAGCGGCATGGGCTGCACGTGTGATGCCTAGGAAAGCATAAAGCCCCGTGTCACCTTACCTAGGGCAGGACGGAATGTGAAACCTCAACGGCCTGTCAAACTTGAGGTACCTGAGCTCCTGGAAACCCGGTGATTTAGTGACCATCTCACACCCGTGCAGAGGAGGAATCTGTCTGCCCCAGCCTGCGTTCTGCTCGTTTGTTTGGAACCGAGAGCCTGCGCGCAGCAGCTGACCTTGCCTTCTTGCTCGTGGGACCGCAACACCACCGCCCTTTCGCCAGCCACTTGTCCCGCGTGACTCGGCTAGGACACGGCTTTTCTTACAGGACACGGCTTTCGCTACTGCAGCCCTAATCCTCAGGCCTTACACTTCACATGGAATTCCGTTTGGAGGCGTAAAACGATAGATTTCACAACCCGGCCTTGCGTGAGACTTGTTCCAGCGACGCACAGCCAAGGGCCCTCGGAACTCGCCAAGAGCAGGGCCTGTGAAGGACGCGGATGCACGCGTACGAGGGAATGCTGTCGCCAACCAGGAGCACCGTTCCCGAGGGGTGAGAACAACCCCACAGCGCCAAGTTTCAGAATCTCACTCTACGCATGTCGCTGCCCTAAGGAAGCATCTTCTATCCAGAGAGGTCACAGAGGTCACCCTTACTGGTTTGATAATTTAGGTAACAAACCAGATTTCTGTGCCACTGTAATCCCCTCTTCTGATTACCTGCTCTTCCGGCTGGACAAACCCCACATTCCCATGCGATAATTACCAGCGTTACAATGGTAATGTAATGGTAATGTAAAATGCCAGCATAACAACCAGCAAGGGCAGCATCTGACTGTTTTTTCCTTAACTGACCCCCCCTCGGCAGGTGACCGGTGTCTCTTATGATCCCTTAAATCACCTCTCAGCCGTGCTGTTACAAGAAGGCAGGTGGCGGAATGCTGTTTTCTGTCCCCGACACAGCAATCCTGCCTCAAACTCACCCCCTTGGCAACGCCGATGGAAACAGAAAGCCAACGCTTATGCTTCCAGCGGAACGGGCTAAAGGCTTATGAGGTGGTTGCTGATGTCCTGCAACGCAGCACGTCACATGAATTCTATCGTTTCTCCAGCGGGGAACGTTGTGTCTTCAAACTAGAACATGAAACGCTTCCAGGAAACTCCTGAAGGAGGGACAGTGTTCTAAGTCTTGTGTCTTTTCTGGAGCTGGATACAGAATCCTTTAGACCAGGCCAAGACTGTAAAGAAAGAAGCCTAATCCCAAGAGCCTAAAAAAATCTGGCTTCACAACCTAACCTGCCATAAATACCAGCATTTTCTAGGGTAGTCAGTGTCCATCACTGAAGGCAGCAGGAGCTTCTCCTATCCAGGGAAGATGCTTAAATGAGGGTGGAAGTCAAACTACGTTACGTGTACAGCGGTGGTATTAAGACTTCCCCAATTCCTGCTTTATAAACACTGAACCGACCCAGCTCAGGGGATCGCCAAGGCAAAGCTGAATTCCATGAACGGTGCTTGGGAGTCCACGTTCCCTCACCTCTGAATTCTCAGGCGGTAGCGCTACAAAAGCAAGTCATTCCTACGTAATGCCCAAACGTGCAGTGTCTGTCATGCTCTTAAACTGGGCTATCCAAGAAATCTGGAAATGTACTCAGTTTATCCCTCTTTATATCCTGTATTAGTAACAGGCCTGTCCTTCCTGTGACGGAAGTATCCACGCTGTAAGACAGTAACACTCCGAAGAGCTCGGACAACACTGCAGCCTTTCTTCTATAACTGCAGATTACGAGGACCGTGCAGCAACAGGAACAAACCAGCAAGGGAGTACAGAGTAAGAGCTCAGCGTGCATTAACAGGAAACGCCAGGTTGGATGAGAGCGACAGTACAGCTCATCTCTGATAATACGTAATTCTCACTGCAGGAATCTTGGTTAAAAAACAAAGCACTAGAGCAGGACCTACAAACTGCAAGGTAGTGTATTTAATCAAGGTAACAGATCACAGAACCTGAACATTCAAAACAGCATCTGCAACAGCAGTTTATTACCGGTCCACATTACAGCATTTGCTCAACACTGAGAACAAGTTGGCAAATCAAAAACGATTTCAAAGCCTGTCACTTTCTGCAATACGCACACGTGAAAGGAATCCAAAAATACCTGCTTTGCAGATCATTTTAAAAATGACATAGGAGCACACACTCACAAAACCAGTTACAGTCTGGATACTCTCGGTCCCGTTAAGAACCAGAAGCTCTCACAGCAGCAAGTATGATCAAGGATACAACTAAAATTGAGACGACCTGAGTGTGGTTTTAGAAATAAGCATGAAGAAATTCAGGCACAACATCCATGAGGAGGATCACTACTCAGAAGCACAAACAGGTCTTTGCTGGAAGCGATGAAAGAATTACACTGGAGGAAGGAATGACATCGGCAATGCAACAGACCATAACGTACATTACTAAGAAAGTGTATGAAATCTTACAATCATCAATTCAGAATTACTTGGTAATATATCTTCCATATCAAAACTGAACAGATAGATAGGTAAGCTTCATTCTGAAGTTACAGAAGTTGGAAAAGAGCTCCTGCGCCTGTACAGGTTACATAAGGCGTTCTCAGGCACAGGCAAGGTAAGATTTCTGACAGTCTTTGCAGAGCACTCTTCATTCCTTGACTTCAGCCTGCTGAAGCGAGTTCTTCTGTCCTGCCCAAACAGCCGCAGAACACGTCTTCATTCTCCACATCACGCTACTCAAGCCCTTCCATCCCTATTTCCCCAAGCAGAGTCCTCGTCACACACCTGATGATGCTGTCAAACATCTTTCTTCAACCTTCTTATCTCGGCTTGGAGAGCCCCATCGTGGGAAGGTTTAATGAGCAGCTTGAGGACCCCGTGAGAAACCAGCCCCAGGAGAGACAGCTGTCTATGCAAACTGCCAGCCCGCACGCTCGTGAACGGCAGGTCCTTGAGCCTGAAGCGCCTGGCTTCCCTGGCCTGCACCCGCCCGTGGCTAACCAAGGGGAGTCGGGCCTACTCTGCCCCTTTGTTTGCCTCTGCCCCAGGCCAGGCTGCGGGTCAGACACTAAGGCCACCTTTCAACCGTCAAGCCTGCAAGTACTGCTGGGCCCCCGGACCAGGATGCGTGTGTAGGCTGCACCTCACGTCCGCACACGATGTGAAACCCTGGCACACTCCATCTCCCATGCTTCAATCTCCCTGGGAGTGAAACCTGACACACAGAAGGAGAAGGAAGGCCCGGCTGGCTCTTGGAGTCTGCAGATGGCAAGACTCGCAGGGACGCTGCTACCTAGAGCAGCACGAGTGGTGGAAAGCATCGCCTCTGTCGTGTTTTTCTTCCAGCCCAAGGAGGGACCAGGTCTGGGCTCCCACACACAGAGCTAAGCTCAGTTGGCAAGGGAATCAAAGTGGTTTTAAGAAGACAGTTTCATTTCTGTGAGCTTACTGAAAAGTTTTACAAGCAAAGACAACTGATGTTACTTTTATCTTTAATCACGCCAAATATTATAATCCGTTTCTTCTAGTTTCCCTGTACCCTGTCTCAGGTTGTGAACAGCCCCCCGTAACTCTGCAATGTCAGGATGGAAGGATTTTACATCACTCTTTGATACTAAGTAACTTCTTGAAATAAGACACTCATCAGCAGAAAATGCTCTTACCTCGGTAAACGCACGGATCTCTAAGTGCTTACTTCAGGACTACTCTGCAAGCTCACACGGGCCAACCTTGGCGAGAGAAAACACTCTCCTATCCCCCTGGTTGATAATGCTGAACGTTGAAAGAAGCCACCCCGAGCACGTGGACGACTTTATCTGCCTCCACTATTCCGTAAACAATAAAAACCAAAGGCAAGTTCCCGATCTATCAAATTCCGCTTCCTTGAATTGGTAAGAATGAAGAAGGCTACTGGCCCAGGAATGGATGTGGGGTTACCATTCACTTCAATCTTGATTCTATAAAACCTGTGTATCGCGACACAGCAAACTGCAGAGTGACTCAGCGCATTCCGGAGGCTCGGTTTATGGATGTGGGGTTACCATTCACTTCGATCTTGATTCTATAAAACCTGTCTTACGTGTATCGCGACACAGCAAACCGCAGAGTGACTCAGCACATTCCGGAGGCTCGGTTCGCCGTACAACACGCAGTGTCATAGAACGTCAAAAACCTGGTGACGCTGTACAAAAACGTTATGAAAGGATGTCCGGACGCGTTACAAAAAGCGTAACTTCGTCGTCAGAATGTGAATGCTCCAACGTGTGGCCGGATAATCCTCACCACTACAAAATTCTCCCTATCCATGGCATCATGGCAGAATTTTTTTATGCTTTTCCCTGTCTGCCGGGTGTCCCAGACACTCTAAAGCCATTACCTACTGGCTGTGCACATCTGCTCCGACAGATTTTAAGAAGCAGACTCATTTTCAGAGAGAAGTAGCTCTTTCTTTCTTTTGAAAATGCCTTTTAAAAGGATCCTGACATCGAGTTTCCAACATGAAGGATCCAAAAATCACTACTCACGGCTGGAAAATTTAGCCATCAAATCCCCATAGAGCAGTAAGCTCTCAGGCAGACAAATCTTGGGGTTTTTTCCCAGTGCACACCGTAAAGTTCTGGGCAGATGCACATTGAAACAGAACAGTCTCTTTCATTTGTTTGTTAGGCTCTCATTTCAAGGTCTGAAATCCCCTAAATGTAATAATCTCATTGAAACTGGGAGGAAACAAGTCTCTTGAGTATATTCTTGATGCTGCCCCAACAAAGGCCACCCTACAACACAGGTCTGGCAGACCTCTGTCACATTAAATGGTACACGCTCCCTTTATACATCTGACCAAGGTCGCAGAGTATCGTGAGAAGTAATTTATGCAAAGTTAGTTTGGTTTTGCTAGTCAAAACACCATTTTGTCATATTCAAGTAAGGTAACACATTGTTAGAAGGGTTTCAAAACCTCTAATACTGCAGGGCTGAAAAAAAGCTTTTGTTTATTTCTCTTTATTAAAATAATTTATTCCATCCATTAACGTACGCCATATTTTCACAGATTTAAATAATACACTAAAAAAAAAACCTGTTTCTCTGTAAGTTGATTTTATACACATAACAGTTCCTACGTCATATGGCTGTTTTGCGGTGAGGTAATTTTCTATATGGCATAAACCTCAACTTGTCAAGAGCAGACAGCATTTCGTTCTGTCCTGAATTCGTAACTTAAAGGTTATGGCTTTTTTGTTTCTTCAGCAAACAGTTCTTCAATAACAATAATAATTAAAGAAAAGTTACTGCTCCTTCTGTGCAAAATCAAGCACCTAAAAACGATTTCAAAGCCAACAGAAGGGCAGAAATTTCAGCAAGTTCTGAAAGGTCCACTTTACCTTCCCACGTGCCGTAAGTCATCAGCGAAATCAAGATGTATTTTAAAGGCAGGTTGCAATAAACTGAAGAATATATTAAAAAAAAAGAACTTACCAAGAAGCGGAATCGCTTGGGTGACAGGAGCAGGTACATTAGTAGGTGCTACAGGAGGTGGAACAGTCCCATATATTTTGGAACTATCGGTAGATTCAGCAGTCCCTCTGGATCCAGAAACCACTGTTGGGATGGGATTTCCTACAGATGAATCTTTTGTAGTGTCTTCATTCACACCAGTTGCTGTAGCTGAGAAACAACGCAGCGATGATGTGTTAAAAGAGAGTCAGCTTTTGCGCCTGCACGGTACCTTCTACCGCCGCTTGCCCGAGATTTAACACTTACAATTTGGGATGTTTACTGCTGGAGTGTGAGGAACAGATACCGGAGGAGTTATAGGTGGTGGTGGCCCAGGAGGAAGAAAGCCTGTAAAAAAAGGATGTATTAACACCGAGTATCCCTTTGCCAAAACATATTTGTGCAGTTTATATGGCAGATGCTTTTATTTGCTATACGGTTAAAAAAAGGACTTGATATTCCTAATACATATATAAATATACCTGGGGGTAAATGCATTGGGTTGAAACCAGGTCGTAAAAATGGAGGCGGTGGCGGTGGTGGCACTCCAGGAGCAAATCCAGGAGGTGGGATTCCTAAAGGTGCTGTGAAAGCAGGTGGTTGGAGTGCACCAACCACAGGAGGACCTGATGGATGTGGTGGAACCTAAGAAAAAAAGGAAGGGGAAAAATGCGTTACCTCAAGACTGAATGGATTCTTTGCTGTTCAGCTGCAGACTGCTGGCTTTGTCCATCAAACCCAGGGAAGTTAAGCTCCCTCAAATCACTCTGCAACAAGGTGACTTACATAACTGACCTAACCAGCAGTCACACAACTCCTACAACTTAAAAATATCAACACCGACCTTGTTTGCCTTTATTCTTAAAGAAAAAATTGTTCTCCGTGGTAAGTTGGTACTAATGCCTGCTGGTAACGCGTCTAAACACACACTCTGCACCGCAGCTGGAATCCTTTCACCATCCAGCATGACACACCACACTGCACACAACTTTGGAGAAGTTAAACTCCTTTTCTTTTTCACTACCTGAGTTTGTGTATTATAGTCAAGTGACCACTGCTTCCTTTTCTTTTTTTTTTTTTTTTCCAAACTTCTGGGTTTTTTTCAAGCTCTGAACGAAAACTGATTTAAATTAAATTGGTCCTTAGACCTGTATGTGTGAGTTTACGACACAAACCGGAGTAAACGCCCTCGCCAGGCCAGCAGTGCACAGGTCGGCATACCCCGGAGTACCACAGAGGGCCCAGACTACCTGGATGAACACTGACTTTGAGCAACTCTAGGGGTGTTTTCCATTAATCACAGGTAAAGCTTTCGGAAAAGCGCTCCAAACTCACAGTAACCCGATAATCTCAGTAGGTCTTTTTTCACAGGGCACTCCTTCACCGAACAACAGCTCACAACAGGAGCCCGCTGCAGCGACAGATCTGCTGGTGGCAGGACTGTTCCCGTACGGACAGCGTGCGAATAGCAGAAGGAACTGAGGAGGGTGTATGAAGACGGCAGAAAGGTTTAAAAAAAGAGAGGAAACTTGGCAGGTGCCGTCAGTCCTTAAGTAGTTAAAAACTGAGGAAACCGTGGATGAAGCACGTGCACGCAACGGCTTTAGGAGGTATAATGAACAGTACAATAACTGAGCCTGCCAGTTTCAGTCGGAAGGGTACGGGATGGATGCTGGACTGATGCACAACTCCCACATCTAGTTATACAGAGAAGGAGCACGTGGGACTAAGAAACACATCAGAAAATCTGGGAGGTACACACTCAACCCTGACTCTTGTTCATGGTTGAAAGCCCATTAAAGGAAGAAAATGGACTTCGGGTTGGACTGGGAAACTTACGGAAAGGGTAGCCACAGCAAAACCCCCGGCCTTCGGTGCAGAACCCTGGCAAAGCCTGAGCCATGGCTCACTGAAAGAGAATGGCAGTCTTGGTAGGGTAACACCAAGCTTCGCCAAGAGAGGGAACGCCAATTGCCCAAAACCTCATCAATGAATGTGCAACAGGAGTGATACCACAAGCACTGTTAACTGAAACTGACCCTCGGCAACCAAGAAATAGACTTCAGTGGATCTTGGACACTGCAGTCTGACTTAACACCAAACACAGACCCACCCTCAGAGGGGACCACTGAGGTGGATTACTCAGGCCTGCAGGAGTGGGACCAGGTTTCAGCAACAGCTCAGAGACCCCAATCTATGGGCGTGCAACGGCCTCGCTCCAGCGGCACAGCACAACAGAAGCACTCCACCTGTCCTGCCAACAACCCAGGACCCTGTGGCTGAGAAGATGCTGCGTGCACTGTTGAGGCCGCAGAACTAGACTCGGCCACGCAGGCCATCAGTCTCAGAAGGATGTTACCCATGTTAGGTACCTTATTACACAGAGGTTGCATTCATGGGCCAAGGTGGTACTGGCAGTAACAGGAGGACAGCCCGCAGTAGTACTCCGCTCACAGGCAACGGTCCAGCTGAGCAGGGCTCATTCCCTGTGTGTCCAGCCCAGGCTGGGGGGCAGCACAGAAGGCCTGTTCAGGATCTCCCAGAGAAAGGAGTGATGAAGCTCCTTCCAATCCTGCCTTTAAGCATGGGATTGTTAGAGCTGTGGGCAGACGGCAACACTGCTGACTAGGCCCTGGCCGGAAGTTCAGCCTCATGAGAAAGGGCATTAAGGGCATGAGAAGCTGCCAGGCGTGACAGGTAACGATGTGAGAAGCTGACAAGTTAGTGGCATAAAGGATGGCTGGATTTTGCAGGTGTTAACAGGGTGCTTCATGAACAACAGCCAAACTTCACAGATAACCAAAACACTGGGGATCTTAGGGGGAAAAGGACCTTCCTTGTGAGGCCAACAGTGCGTAAGTAACCATATCCAGGAATACCATACAAGGACAATATTACTTAGGTATCATAAACAGCAAATCTGGGTAGGATGCAGCAAAACTGGGACCAACATGAGAAAAAAAAATTCCATGAGAGTTGTTTACTTGGGAGGAGACTACAGTGGAGAAAGCACAACAAAAAGGAAAGTCAGTAAGTGAGAAGAGAGAGTGTAGTTATGGGAATCGTGCAGTCAAAGCTCTTGGCTCACCCATCACATAGCCCTGTGCTTGATCCCTGCAGCCTGAACCAGGACAATGCGTAGCACCTGGCCTGACACATCACACGCATCAAGCCTGCCTCTCCAGCCAGAGGGACCCGGGCGGGCAGGGGAGCAGCCCGAGGGATAGAGCAATCCGGCCTGCTATCGCTGCACTGATGCCCACTCCAGGCTGGAGAGCATCAGCAGCTACCCAGCCCTCACAACCACCTCCCCACTGCTCACAGTCCTGAGCGCTGCAGCCAAGTACAGACAAAAGCAGTTCTGCTTTTATCCAAGGACAGAAATACATCAGCTGAGTCACATGCAACGGTACTCTACAAATTTACTGAAACAAAAGAAGTGGAACAGAATGAGCTTTATCCTTTAGGTGCTAGGTCACATTTGCTTATTATACAACATGTTATTTTTACTACTAACACCACTAACATCACCACAGTGGAACTTAATTTGGAAGTTTTAAGAACTCTTTACAGATAATCAAAGTACCGTAATTTTATGGCCAGAGAAGACAATTGGATTGGTCAAGTATAAGACAGCATAAAGAAGTTCACAGCAAAGCTAAAGGTGAAGACTAAATACAGCTCTCTGATCCCGGTCTGAACTTGCGAAGACACAAGTTTCTTTGCTTGTCTCAGCTTCCTCAGATTCAGGTTTTTACTACGGCCATCAGCACACTCAGTATATTCTGAAACTGGTTGTTTCTTCCTTCACACTTTCTTTTTCACCATGGTTCGAAGGAAAAGAAACAAAATCTCTGCTATTTAATACAGTTAATAGTTACTACAAGTCTCTGGAAACTTGACTTCCATGTTCATTCACTGACACCACCTTACAGCATTTCAGGACTCTGTGTCAAAGCAACACAAAATTCAACGTACTGTGTCCTCAAACCACGTAATTGGCTAAGTCATGTATGTCTTCAGATTATGTGAGCTCTTGGCCTTTTCTGAGTGTCTGCCATATTGCAGTCCATAAATCACCTTTTCTCAAGACGTAAAATAGTTCTATTCACACTTCCTCCCATCTGGAAGAAGGTATTTTAACAGTGAACCAATACGATGAGAGTAGTAATGTGTCTGTCAGTAAATAAAGCTAAAAGAAACACAGACTAAGAAACACTGGAGTGTAATGGTAATAATAATGATTATTACATGCTACTTAACTGATGGCAAAACTTGAGTGTTCTTTTAGCAAATGAACACGCAGCGTCAGCTTTCACTAAAGAGACATTATACCAACAAAGGAAGAGTATGAAATAAACTCCCAAAGGCTGTTCAAAGAGAGTACACACAACGCGAACAAACGTGAAAGCAACATGCGCATTTTAGAAGGTCTGTAGCTTATTTACACCAACGGTGAGGAAATTTAATTAGGAAAACAGTAAAAAAAAAAAGCACAATCATAAAACCAAGAGGATGCAATTCAGCCCATTAATAAAAAGAATCTGTTGCAGTAGTTCATCCAGGGCTCAGAGAACAGATACTACAAGTACAATCCTACAATACTTCAGTTAAAGACCTGGCAGACACACATATGCTCTGTCTACAATAGCATCAGCGCAGCAAGAGGTTTTGGAGCAAATCCCCATCATTCCCAGCAACCACATGCTGACTCAGTTCCCAGGGCGGTTCTGGTGCGTGCAAACTACATCCCTTTTCAAGGAAATCAAACCAGATGCTCTGCTCCTGCTGGGCACAAAACATGCTCCAAACCCTACTGTGTTCAGTTTTTCTCAAGTCTTCCGTTGCCACTGTGACTTAGCAGAGAAGGAATGTTCTTCTCTGACACTGCACTGCTCTTGACAGGAAGAAGCTCAAGCAACGGATTTCAGGTGCATACTCCATGTATGGCACAGGCAAGTTTAGCTACCCAGAGCAAATGAGAAGCAACTCTCACCTGTGGAGGAGGTACTGTTATTGGTGCAGGCATGGGAACGGGAATTGGAACAGGTAAAGCTTTAGGTATAGGTGACACTGGTTCATTATGTGTAGCTTCTGCACCTCCATTCTGAGCTACTTCATTTTCAGACTTCTTGGGAATCCCCTTCCACTCTATAAAAGAAAAAAATCCAAACCCAAACACATGTATAAGCTCAGTAGAAGCAGACGAGTAGTCAAGCACTGCCATGTAAAACTACCATGCTTTGTGATGTTCACAAAAATGACATAATTGAAAACATTCAGATAATGAGAAGCACAGGGCTAAGCAGCATTTCAATGTGTTTCTGACAATGAAAATTCCAAATTACCTTTAACACAGCACAGTCAATCACTGACACACAGCAAGTGAATTTACTCAGTAATCATTTAACAATTCTTTGCACTGACAGCACTCATACATGCCCAGGACTCTGAAACACACGATCTATAACAAAACCAGTAAGGCTCTTTTGGGACAAGCTTTCAACAGATTCATTCCATTACTCTCAAGCAAGAAGGCAGCAGCTTCTTCACTAATTTGAAAAGTAATTTCTGAACAACATTTTCAAGTCTTGAACAAGGAACAGGACAATACAACAATGAAGATTCACAGCAAAATCGGAGAAACGCCAACTACAGCTTTCAACTCATTTTACAGAAGAAATATGGCTCATACTGTTTGCCAGAACTTCCTGGAAAAAGACAGCTAAGCAGAAAAAACGGTACCCGTGACGAGGCATTATGGGAAAGAGAAAAGCACTGAGAGGACTGGAACACACTGAGGTCCTGTTTATAACTCGTTACTTTCATTTAAAATACACACTCAACTTGGTTTTGTGTATTTATCACAAAGAGATGCTACCATTTACAATAACCACCACCCAATTAGGGCAAGTGGGACAGAATGACAAAACCCTGAAACAATGTTGCGCTGACTAGACAGCACACCACTCCGTAGTTAAACCAACACAGTAGTCTGGAGTATCAATTCACAGAACTTCAGGCAGTTTCAGTTTTTAAGTACTGCTTTCATTTAATATCACTTTTAAAATCCCAACTGCCAGCACACTAGCAACTCTGTATTGATTTGAAGCCGCTGATTATGACAGGTGTCATTTTCTTAATATAACCATATAAGCCTGGTATTCTCACTGGTTACATCCAAAGTAACAAGAATTCTATCAGATCCCTGTAAACACAAGACTTGCTAAAGGAACTGAGCGTGTCACAAGCGTGAAAACTACAGATACTGTTCTAGAAATTACCAAATTGCCCTCAGCTCAGTTGCTACACCAGTACTCCAAGGGCAGGCTCCTTTGCTAGGGGTGCCTCACACAACCCGGGGCGCGGGGGGCACCCAGCTAGCTCTGGGAGTGACAAGTACGCTTGCATCCTGCATCGCCATCAAGGGCAAACGCCAGAGCAGCTGACAGGTCACCTGGTATCCACCAGCATTTTTAGCCCAGCCTTTCGTAACACAGCTGCACAACTCGTGACGAGGGACTGCCCGTAACCGCTTACAAACTCTCTCCCACCTACGGGGTACACAGGCGGCGCTTCCCAGCCATTGCAAGGATCCTATATGCACCTCAGAGTGACAAAAGCCAGCCACACCACCTTCATTACACCAGCATGAAGAACAGTTTTCTACAAGCATTTAAAGATACAGCAATACTTTACCTGGACTAAGAGTTTCGTTGTCCAACATTCCTCCTTCACAGAAGCTTTCAAGATCTTCAGGTTTCACTTTGTCCCATGGTATGTAAGTAACACCTAATTCTACATCCCAATACTGCTTGTAATCTGGCTTTATTCCTTTATTCAAAGCCCATGCAATCTTGGGGGGAAAAAATACATGCAGTCAGTAAAATGTTTCCATTTTAATGGATTTAGTATTTAGTTCTCACAAAAGTGCATTACCATTTGAGGCTAAAAAGCAAAAAAACCCCTTTAACTGAAACATGAGGTTTCAATAGGGTTAGTTACTGAACTCCGAAATAAGAGGGATTATTGAAGCAGACTTAGTTGTTTTTCCTTGGCATGACTCTGACACACACTTCTGTGAACAAGTACAAAGGCAGTTTCTTCAAATGCCCCCCAGTCACTAAGGTGAGTTCTACCTCCCTTCAGAGGGCACTGCAACGCTCTAACACGACGTTCTACAAAAGGAAGAACTTCACTAATGAATGCGTTCCTCCTTACTGATTGCTACTCCTCTTTGTAAGATTATCTAATTAATCCCGGTTGTAAAACAAATAATCAGCAACAAGAAGAACATAGTTACAGTCCACTGTCCTGACTAAAAGGACACCATTTTTTGTTGGTTAAATAGACAATTATTGGCAACCTTTCAAGGAAGTTGACACAAGTTCCACTGGCCATATCACAGAACAGGAGGAATAGTTATCACGAAAAAGAAGTGGTCCACTCACACAGATTTCATAGAATCACAGAATGTTTTGGGTTGGAAGGGACCTTAAAGACCATCCAGTTCCAACCCCCCTGCCACGGGCAGGAACACCTTCCCCCAGGTCAGGTTGCTCAAGGCCTCATCCAGCCTGGCCTTGAAGACATCCAGGGATGGGGCAATCCCAGGTTCTAGGATTTACAGAACACCATACCCAGAACACATAGAAGTCTATAATACCCACAAGTCTGGACTACATGAAAAAGGATTACAGTAAAAGCAGTAACTTTAGAACAGCGTGACCTTTTCCAAGAAGTACCTTTATAGACTTCTGATTGACTTTGAAGTTTCCTCGGCTCAGTTTTTGTAGGGCACGGTAAGCATCTTGTCTGTGAACCATCACAATATAGGCACATCCTCTAGGCGGTATCATCTGTTTGTATTTCAAGAAAAAACAATAGTTCTGCTAGCACATTAACGAAGTAATGAATGAACCACATAGAAGTGCCCAATTACAGTGAGCTGGAGCATCAGCAGGTGTTTTGAAAAGGACTACGGTAGTATGAAAAAGCATGTTTGTTTCAGAGGCTGAGCGAGCCAGTATCTTCTGAAAACACACATTTCTAGTAAATTAAAAGCAACTTCATCTGTGGAAAGTTCTAGAGCATGTGGGAATACGGACAACTGTTGCATATTTAATCCTTCCAAACTGTTAAACAACAGTGTTCATGTACATGCTGTGGTCTGGCAATTAGTTACTTTGTTGGAAGAAACAAGACGCTCTAATTCCCCACTTGATTCCAGATACCACAAGCTGCCAGCTGCACCTTCCCATTCAGTTTTATCTGCAGTTTTGTAATTATTTTTATTATTTGGCATGCATTTGAGAAAAAACTTCTATATTGTTTTACAAAATTTGGGAATAGGAAGCAAATTACAGTCACTCCTTTTTGTTTGTTTAAATGAGATTTTATAGCTCCCAGAGCCACTACCATTTATATATAAAAATACGCTCAAACACACTAAGCATAACAACAGTTCTCCCTGTTCATGACTAAAAGGACAGAAGAGAAACAAGCAGAAGAAACCAGAACACCAGCTGGGAGTGAACGTTTCCATAATCAAACAAGGTGGAGCAGACAAGGAACTCGGCAGCGAGTAATCCTGTACCGGCGTCCTCAATAGCCCTTTCTCTTTCCATTCTCTCCAGAGAAAGGAACGATTTTTAGGAAAATGGGACAATCCTTCCATATGCATTTTTAAACTGCAAGAAACTAAAGCAACTGCCTTCTTGTTTTCCTTCAAAGCAGGGAAACGAATTTTTATACATGAGAAAACGCAACCATGTAGGCAATGAGAGCTCGACTCTTGAATGGATCAAAAATAAAGCTGTCTGAAAAGACTTTTTGTAAACAAGGTATCTCCAAGTAGCTTACACCGCACCGTTTATACTTACGTTTATTGATTCAATCGGGCCAAACTCCTCCAAAAGACTTCCAACATCCTGTTGAGTTGTCCTTTTGTCAAGCTGTCCTACCCAAAGCGTAGTACTACAAACTATGACGAAAGAGTTAACACAGATTGTAAGAGCACTTGGAAATACACCTTTCACAAGCCAGAATGTCTAAACAGTGATTTTAAACCAGTCAGTTATCCAAGTGAGGAAGTCTGCTAACATTAAAATACCTAATTTAATCGTTAGGAGTCTTTAACAGAAACTTCTTTCTTGCCTGCCTGGAGCTGTGCGAACAGCTAACGGCAGCGACCGCATCAGAATCACTGCCTGAACGCACTCACTGAGCAGCTCTCTAGTTAACTAACACTGAAGTTCTGATGGTTCTGAGGACAGTGAGGCTCTGCAAATCTGCATAAAAAGGAAAATCTTTGCTGCTCACGATGCTCCAGGAAATAACCCAACACATATAGCGGGTGTTTCACAACAAGGTAAAAACTCACCCTACTTAGTATGAAATCCAAGCTATGGGCCACCATCGCAAGTTAGGGATGGTACTCACTGGCAAGATGGTAACTGCATTGTTTATGGTGATACATCCACTACTAGTAAGATTTTCCTCCAGAATGTGGTGAAAATTCAACTACAATGAGCAACTGCAATTTTAACCTCCTTAGTGACCTCTTCAATGCCATTTCTTTCTACAGTTAAGCGAAAAATTATTGACACAAGCCTTTTCTTTCAGGAAAGAGTAAGCGACATGCTTATCTCGTCTTCATGCCTGAAGGTAATAAAGCAGCAGATGAGCTCAAAGTATCACATTCGCTGAAGCCAACTACAGCAACATTTAATACTCATCGATGTTTTCCCCGCTAAGTGATACAACACTACAAACCTAAAAAGCATTATGTGACAGAACCTGCAAGAGGTGTTGGCAAAAGCACATGCTGCACAACTGCCAGTAAGCTCTCAGTGAACAGCGACTAAGCCCTTGCAGTCCCTTTAAAGTAACGATATTGTCATTCACAAAGTTTTGGCTGGTTAGAACTCTCCAGGCTTTGTCCCTCCTCTATGAAACAGAATGTTCCCGTTTTACTTGATAACTCCTGAGAAGTTACTACATTTTGTCTATACAGAGGATTATTTAAAAAAAAACCCCAACCATTAGCCTGTGTGTTTGCCAGGTCAAAGCTCCCCTCCAGGTCTGAGACACACACAACACTGAATCAATAGAAAAACTGCAATTACGTGCTCGACTTCTTGTTGCTCAATCTGCTTTAGCTTATATGTCTCAAAAGAAGGAAAAGAAAAAACATGGTGTTTCAGCTTTTTCTTTCCTTAATTTACAGCCAAAATATTTCTGACTTGGAGATATTCCAAAAATGCCAAACTGTCTACTATGAGTAAAGGAAGTACAGGGATGTGTGGTGAATGTAATTCTTACCAGCTTTACAGCAGTTCAGAAAACTAAACACAGTATAAGAAATTACAGTTTACTTTTATCCTGCTTGGACGAGTCTGGGAACCCACATCAAATAGCATTAAACCCAAGAAAAACCAGCAAACCAAACCAAACCCACACCACATAAGGAGTTGGCTTGTGGGATATTCTGAGCAGATATAACACACTGAAGGTAAGCAGACTACAACGTTAAATTAAAAAAAAAAGAGTCTACTAGGTACAAGAAGTGTATTTCTTTGACATTTACTGTTTTCCTAAAATACATGTTCGTCTTAGTATTCTATTTTACATATGGATAGTATCTAGTATCCTCAATTTCACAGAATTCTAAAATTCATTAAAGAAAATGCTGGGCACAGACAAAAAAAACCCAGTTATGACCCAGGAAGACATTCAGTGTTACATGAATTTGCAGAGTCACATCAACAATAAAGAGAAAGAATGAACTTACCACTAACAGTTTCTGACTTGATCTGGGGAAGGCCTTTTGACCTGCGTTCTCTCTCCCTCTCACGTTCACGTCTTTCTTGTGACCGAGACTTTGGAGAGTGTCGGCGTCTATCCCTGGACCGCGACCGAGATCGACGATGACGTGATCTTCGAGATCGGGAGCCAGATCTTGAACGTCTCCTTTTAGGTGACCTAGTTTCAACCAACAACCATGCACGTTCAACGTTTCTGACCCATACACTGACAGAGTGATAACCGCTTCAGAGATCTATTTAAATAATCAGGCTAGAGTTCAGCTGATAAATAAACAAACAAACAGACCCAAGTTCATTCACAGGCATTTGGAACTAGAATAAATTCTTACAGGAGTTTATTAATGAATGCACTCCAGCTGAACAGCTGATCTTTTTTTAACTCCTTATCTTCTATTAACTCTGTATTGAAGTTGGCTATCAAAACTTAACGTCCACATTAACACAGGAATAAAACCCATCTACTTAAATGAGGAAAATGTTTTTTAGCCATTCTTTTGTAAAAGCTATAAACAAACTAAAAATAAATTCTGCCAGTGAAATGGAGTATTTTACATCACGTTCAAATTCTAAACAAGGTCTGGAAGACCGAGTAAACTTTCAAAGAAGTCATATCAAACTTGGCCAAGAAGACTCCTAACTAAGCAGACAGCTTTGCTTTAATACTGGAGCCAGATTTGTTAGGTCAGCCGAGATGTGAAACACTGCCTCTGTGACAGGCGAAGCCCCACACTGCTTCTGTCACAGGTTTCTTCATAAGAAAAGTGTCTTTAGAGCACCGACAAAATTAAACTATCATATTCTGTTTCCCTAATGCTTATTGGCAGGCAGTAAAGTTACTCTCTAACAGTAAGAGAGAACTGTATAGATACCCTATTTTCCTCAGAAGGTAGATGACTCTCAGAGGTTCACAAGTCTGAAGAGTCACCAGTTTCTCATTCCACTGTACTGAAGTACATAAACATTTAGGTGTATTTATACACAAGTCCCCTCAGAGGTGAAGAGATTGAAAGGGTCTCCTTTTTTTCCTCCCTTCCAGAAGGGGAATTCAAATAAAGCCCTTGGCAGTTTTGAATTTACCAAGGAATTTCACTAGCATTGTCCATATAGAGAATAATACAGACAGTAATTTCTCGTAATTAATCCGTAGATTAATTGAAATGGACTCTTGCTAAATGTGTCTTTTGGCATTTAGTCAGCACAATCAGGCACTTAGAAAAAAGGGCCACAAAGGGAAGTATGCTGAGTGGGGCACCCAAGCCAACTGGATATACAGGTAACAGGACTGGGTCCTGAGGCACTGTATATAGAGAATAATACAGACAGTAATTTCTCGTAATTAATCCGTAGATTAATTGAAATGGACTCTTGCTAAATGTGTCTTTTGGCATTTAGTCAGCACAATCAGGCACTTAGAAAAAAGGGCCACAAAGGGAAGTATGCTGAGTGGGGCACCCAAGCCAACTGGATATACAGGTAACAGGACTGGGTCCTGAGGCACTGTAAACAAGCTCCACCAACAGTTCAGCTCAGGTTAGCTCACCTCTCAGCTATTCACTGTCACCTCAGTCAGAGGTTACCACCTCGCCAGTAGATGTGGAAGCACAGCGCCAGACAATCAGCATAACTCTTCTCCTCAGTACTTGAAGTGTTTTCAAGCCTTTGGACATGACACACTTCAGCTCCCCGTGTTGAAGTCCAATACTTGATATAACGTATACCCTGACTAAAAGAACTTCCCCTAAGTTACCTTGATGCAGACCTGGATCTTGACTTTCTGTTGTCAGAAGCATGCCGTTTTCCCTCTTGAACAGGTGGCTGTTCTACTTCCATATCCTAAAATATTAAGTTGACTGGTGTTAAGGGTGAGTAGCGTAAACGTTTTATTTCATAATATACCTAAATTATGTCAGCACTAAATTTACATTGAATATTCACATATGTGGAACGAGGACGTAATGCAACCTCCCTCAGAAACTTCACCACTACTTTGTAGTCACTAACAGGGAGACAGTCCAGTATTAAATGAACTTAATACAGACACCGCAAAAAGGTAATGAAAATAATTTACACAAAATTTTCCTATCCAATTCGTCAACTATTGGGTTCCCACATTTTAGTTGATTTCAGCACCGCATTTATCTCTGCAGAATATGATGATATTCCTTAAAGTCAACCAGTGGATCTTGCTCTGTCATGAAAATCACAGGCAAAGTAAGGCCTACTGGAAAACTCTTCTCCAAGATGTTACAGGATAAGCCATACATAAGTGAATTACGATACAGTAAATTTGAAAAACGAAGCATTAAGACCTCAAAACAACATGTAAAATGCAAGAACCTGCTTAAAAGAAAACCCCAAAAGTTCAATACAGCTCTTCCTTCCTACCCCAAACCCTCTACACCTTCCCACTGCAGAATATACTGTGTCCTGCCTAAACTTTAAATAGTCTTCACGATGTGACCCTGGCAGGGAACATCCAAATAAGCAATCTCTCAGAATATACCCATTCAACAGATTTCAAGACTAAAAAACTAATTATCAAGATATGCTTGAGAATTGTCCCTTTATTCCAAGTGGAAAGCAAGAACTTATTTCTAGAATCACAGGTCACCACATAAAAACACCTGGGTACCACCTCTATTTTTCACTTTAGGATTTCCTTTTCCTGGACAAGAGAGGCAAATATTCAAGTTTGTTTTTTTTTTAAATACAGACTCTCAAATAGACTTGCTCTTTGATTTCTTAAGAGCAGCCAGCTACTGAACCAACAATATCCTACCAAACCTCAGAAATGAGAGAGGTGTTTACACACGTGTGGGTTCTTCAAAAACTTTTACAGACTTCTGAGTGCATTTCCGCTATATTAGTGATGTGCCAGGCTAACACAGCAGGTACCAGGCTAACATATAATTAAAATTTAAATTTGCCAGATGGTTTCCTCTCCAGAATGAGATTCCTTTGTTAGAATTCCATGGAACAAAATATTCCCAAAGCATGACGAGGACAGGAAAGGAAGGACGAGTCAAAGCGAAAAGGACAAGAAAGATGCAATCCCAAGTCTTTCACAAAAGAAGGCCTAAAGCATACATATGCTGGCCTTGCTAGACTTCTGAAATACCAGATTTGTCACGTAGCACTACAGCTATCCCACTTTCTCTCAGATGAACTACCCCTCACAGCCATCTCTGCCCATAGTTATTAGGAAATTTCCTCTCCTGAACCAACCACGCACATTTGAAAAAAACATGTATTAGAGCATTTAAGTCAGTTTGTTTACTGCAAGGTGTCCTCACCTGCTGATGTGGTTTTTGCATGTGTGATTCACTCTGTACTGGAAAAGGAGACTGAAAAGTTTGCTGCACAGGTGCTGCTGGCGGAATTACAGGCTGAGCCATGGGTGGAAACTGTGGAGTAGGCAGGAGACCAAAACCTGGCATTTGCCCATTAGGAGGAAGCGGAACCTTTGGAGAAGAAAAGACACCAAAAAATCCATTTAGGAGAAGAAAATTACATTAGTTTTCCCAATTTACTAAAGTAAAACTGTATCTCTGCTCCAAAGTCACAATAAAAGACCAGAAGCCTGAGAAAGCTAGATGAAGTGTTTAGGCGGACAAAATACAAATCTTCAAGGCTTGACTAGAACAGAGAAGAAAAATACGTTTCTTGAGGGAACCTGGAGGGCTAAGCCATATTCAGTCTTTGCTAATATGAACACCAACTTCTTACTCTGGCACCACAGAAAACAACAGAAGACAGAAAACATAGCACACCAGAGGGACGAGTTACCTGGTGACGCATTGGATCCTGTTGTATTCCCATCATTCGCTGCTGAAAAGGATCCATATTTGGGAGTTGGGGAAACACTGGCTGTTGCATACCTTCTCCTGGAAATCCACTGAAACCAGTAATATTTTGATGAGACAAGTCAGCAGACAGATTCTTCTGCCCCCATGTTACGTATTTCTATGTACATTTATTTACAGAGTCTTGCTTCAAATTTAGACAGAAAAATTATCTTATGATCCCATTTCCTCTCTAAAAGGCAAAAATTAAAAAAAAAGGAGAAAGAGCATCTCCCTTATCTTTTCTGTGCTGTAAGAGTAGTTCTTTAGCATTTAAAGAAATGCTACACAGAGGTTTAAGCCTCTCTTCCCCCTGTACTTGTATGATCTTGTTAAAGATCTCAGTCTATGCAAATTATTCATGAAGGTTGTCTGCCTTAGGCTGACTTTCTTCCTTTCCAGTTCCTCTTCTGAGAACAAAAGAAGTAAGCCTTTTCCTCAAGGAAAATAAATAGGCTGCACTTTTGCTGGTAAAACGCCCTCTTTAGTTTGGGAGGAATTTAAGGCATAGGAGGAAGGGATATGTGTATCACACAAGGATTACAGTGATGCCGTTCACTTCCTGATTCAACACACAGAATGGACAGTGCTCGTGGAATTAATAAGGTCTATGCGGTTAGTAGGACCTGTTTACAGGATGGAGTTTGTGTAAGAAACTGAAACGGATTTCAGGAAGATAAAGGAATTCCATGGTGCTGCGAACGTGTTCAAGGCCAGGCTGGATGAGGCTTTGAGCAACCTGGTCTAGTGGAAGGTGTCCCTGCCCATGGCAGGGGGGTTGAAACTAGATGGTCTTTAAGGTCCCTTCCAACCCAAACCAGTCTGTCATTCTAAAAAATGGAACTTTGTAATATTTTACGACACAGGTGCCACACAATTCTGAGATGATTCTGAACAGATCAGTTTTTCATACAGAGTAATACTGATCTTGTGTGCCCAAAATGAGAATACTGGAATCCAATCTTCAGAGGCATCTTACACAACTATGAGGTAATAAGGACAGAGGTTTTCAAGTGCTACAAACAGAACATAAACATGCTGAAAAGCCTAGCCCAACAATCTCTAGCTGGGCATAAACTGTGCTTATGTTTGACCTACCTCATCTTTACGTACTCCAGAGTTCCATCTACATTACAGGGAAAATACTGCCCATTTGCTTAAAAGGCATTTTAATTATTTAATACTTCTGGAACATTAAAGTGCCCAAGGTGATAAACACAGTGAGAAAGCTAACAACACAGTTAGTGATTCTGTTTTTGAAAGCAAGGTTTGGATGGCATATACAGAAAGTAAGACATAGGGCCACATACTGAAGCAGGGAAAAAAGAAATATGGACTAACCCAGGTATCGAGCACCATCCAGCCTGTGCACTGAATGAGAGAGGGGTCCTGTGGAAAAAACTAGTATGTGATCACGTCATGTAAGACTTTATCATAATGCACATCAAAAGGGAAACAGGAGTCAGAGTTAGTTTGCGTGGGTATTTAGTGTTTGAGAATGTAAAGCTGCAAAGCCAATTTTAGTTTTTTGAACAGTTAAAACTAATGCAGTGTTTGGAACAGCATCTTTCCCCCAGCCAGCAAAGCAATCCAGCCGATCACTAACAACACCCTGACACACTCGGTTGTGCAATAAAAGCATGGGACTCATCTTGAAACCAAAACTCAGCCTTTCTCCACAGAACACATTCCTCAATCAATGATGCAACACACCAAACCTACACCAGATCACCACAGTAAAAAGGTAAAAAAACCCACTCCACCAGAAGTTGTTAACAACGTTTTAACTCTGGAATACAACAGTTAAGCACTGCAGTAACTTGGAATTTTAACTGCCTTTCTAACCTTTAGAACAAAGATTTGTTAGTTTTATTGTGACACAAAACTTACAAAGCTGGCTGAGAAACTGAAGGAGAAGGAGCTGAATCTTCTTTCTTTGACTCTTCCACTGCTTCTGGTTCATCATCATAGTCAAACCGATCCAGCAGCTTCTGAAAGATATTACATTCAGCCAACTCTTTTTTTCTGTATCTTACATAACTGGCAGCCAAAATATCCTTATTGTCAAAACCTAACTCTGTATCTAACAGCTCTGGAATTAAAGACAAGGTTAAACCAAGAAACAAAAAAATAATCTATATTCTAATACACAATCAGAAACGGTCCAAAATTATTTTCATTCAGCTTCAGAAAATGCAAAGGCATTTTCTTCCACAACAGGAAGCCGGCCTCCAACAGGAAAAAGACTACTATTTGCATCATTTTTCTCCTAACACACGAAGGACACTGAGGCAACCCATCAAGCGGTCTTCTACTAAACTGGAAACACTAAATGCGAACAACAAATGAAGACTTACTTTGTCAAATGATGTTTTTTGCTCGGGTGGTGGGAAAGCAGCTTTTTGTTCTGGTGGTTGTGCTGCTGTAGTTTTCAACTGAGCAGTAATAGCTTGAACCTGAGCCATCACAGTGTTGTCTATGACCGGTGACTGGGGTTTTTGAGGCTGTTGAAAAGTCTGAAGGATTTGCTGAAGCTACAAAAACATGTATTGCATTAAGTCTATATTCTCACATAAAACACATCGTGTTGAAAGAGTTGTACGATATTAATTTTACGTTAAACCAGAGCGTGGCACAGGATGAACACCACCCACCACCTGACTGAATTACGGAGAACGTTCAGCAAGACCAAAAGTCACTTTCTGAATACTTCAGTGGCAAAATTCCGCAGATCCCAAGATTTCAGCATTCAGGCCTTTCAACACTGCAAACTGGACTTAATAAAATTTTTGTTCATTTAACTTTTTTATTATGCCTTTAATAAAACTAAACATTTTGTCTGAATGTAATTGCATCAATTCAGAGCTAATTATTTAGAAACAGGTAACTGAATTTTCCTCAAATACCACAAATTACTGGACAGAAGGGTCACATATCACCCAAATACCAACTTTAACTCTCACAAGTTTTCCACTGAAGATCTCAGGAGGCTTTTTGTTTTGCTTCAAAAGAACAATATTACTTCCATATTTTTTTTCCCTCTCATTTAACATAAAAACTGAAGTTAGAAGGGAACCAAACATAAACAGGTTACCTGTTGTCCTTGCGTTGTTTGGAACAGCTGAGCTACAGCTGCAAAGGCATCAGAACTGGGCAACTGTGGCACAGTAGGTACTGAGTTAGCAGTAACTTGAGGGGGCTCTGAAGGAACCTTTGTTGGAGGGGGTGGCGAACCTGAGAGTTTCACAGGAAGTGAAAAAGAACTATGTTACTCCAACACATTCACCTTGCACTTCAGTGCATACAGCTACCTCCTCAAAACAAGTGTTTATTTACAGTACTCCATCTAACACAAAAGCCCTATCTAAAATATGCTGTTCTCTTCATTTTGCCTTTAACTGCTCCATTCACTGAGCAAATCTGTGCGTTATGTACCCTAAGACAGAAAACACAGAGAAACGGCAGGGAAGCTACTCCGGCATGGTGCTTTAGAGCACAACTGAATGTGTGTAATTGTACAATTTCAGGAAAGTTAAGAAAAAACGTATTTCTCAGTGTTAAGCAATGCGTATTTAAAATGTTAGTTCTGGTTAAAAAGTTCTGGACTCACTCTTCTGGATGAGTATTTCAAATCAGTTACCTAATGGTTCATTTTAAGAGCAACCGAGTCTTTCTTCATGTCTCCTATCTCCTAGCAGTTACTGAACTTTTGCTAAAATGTCTGGTAATAATTAACGGTTTTTAAAAATTATTGCACAAGCAAATTTTTTCTTTGATAAGGTTTGTTCACGTGCCACTTCTGCATGGACACAAGCCAAACCTGCAGCTAACAGATAAATCCTCCTACCATAAAAATAACTTTTACTAATTCTTCCATGACAAGACCCCCATTTCCACTGAGCTTTACTAAAACTGAGATTGCATTTTAAGACAGTATTAGCTTTCTCTACGCATGCAGCTTTCCCAACTCTTTGCTTTAATTACAGTGCTTCTTTAAAATAAACGTTTTGCCAATACAAAGAAAATTAGCAGAAACACCATCAATGCCTACGTGCTGCAATCAAGTAGCCATTCTTCACCAAATGTGTTTTTATGGACTGCCATAAAGCTGTACAAGGAGAGACAGTTTAAAAACTCCACAGATAGAACCATTTTTCAGTTTGAGACACTAAGCAAATGTTCACCTCACAATATGAACTTCTTTAAAGCCATTCATCTGTTTGCAGTTTAAATCACTGCAGGGTTGACATGCAGCAAGCAGACACAAACATGCTGAATAATATTTTCCCAGAAGTCAGATGCCAGAGAAAAATACTGCAAAAAGATATGTGATTGTTTTTAATATAAATTAACTCCCAAATTGTTTTCTGTATATATTCAGAAGGATATCTGCCTGCTCAAGGGAGAAAATTTGCATTTCTCTTTTTTTTTTTGACTAAACAGATTTTGCAGCATTATTGAGCTAAACAGATTCCATTTCACATAATGAATTAATATGTTTATTATTATTCATTAGCATATTTATTTCAGGGCCAAATTACTCCCTCTGGTGCATCTGAACAATCTCGCTGAAATCAGTAATCCTGTACATGAAAAATCTATGCAGAAGGCACCCAACCTGTTATAGAAGTGAGACAAGGATGGAAAGAGT